GGATCTAATGGATTTTTCACTGGAGGATGTTATGGGTGATGAGTACCTGCAGTCTGGGACATCCAAACCTCCACTGGGATCCAAGGTTCGGATAACAAGAGAGGAAAGATACAGATACCACCCGCAGCTATGGAAATGGAGGTCTTATGGCGGATGCAGCAAGTGCTGGCTTACCTAGACGATCCTATTTCTGCATGGGACGAGCTTGGATGGAGGAATGCGTCTGTCCAACAGCTGGATGAGGGTATGGAAGATAGAGCAGTCGGCTCATCCCTCCAATTAAAGATCCCAGAATGTATGGATCTAATGGATTTTTCACTGGAGGATGTTATGGGTGATGAGTCACCTGCCAAAGTGCTGGCACTGGGCCCAAGGGCCACCAGCCCATGCCCTGGACATTTAGCCATTCCAGAGACTGGGGATTTGATAGACTTCTCTGCTGAGGAAAAACAACCTGGTGAGCCTCCAGCAGAAGAGCTGGCAACAAAGCCAAACATTGCTGAGCTATACCCAGCACCAACAGCAGCTTCAGTCTCCCTGAGAGGAGAGGTTGCCTGGACTTTCTTCTACACCACTGACAGGGACATGGGATTTCCTGCCAGCAGCATCTTTGGAGGTAAAAAAAAACTTCTCCAGCTAAAGCACTGACAACCGGACAGAGGGTCCAGGACCTCTGCCCCACACCTGCAGTAGTTTCAGAGGCCCATTGGGAGAAGGGAGAGGAGGTTGTTGTCCTCCCTTCCGCTCAGTCAGCCAGAGTGGAGGAAACTGTCTTCCCTCCCAAGCCAAGATCTGTGCACCAGGGGGACAGTGACAGAGGAATGTCATCCCAGCAGCAGATCCACAGTCTGGGAGTGGGGGAAGACGTCTCCCTCCCCCACGGTTAGCAGGAGCAGATGTGGGGTCCCCAGCAGAAGTGCTGGCAACAGGACAGAGCGTTGCTGGCCTCTGCCTGGCAACTACAGTCACCACCTGGATACCCCAGGGATGCTGGGCAGTCAGCCCAGATCCCCAACAGCATGATGGATTCGGCCCAGCTACTCTGTCTTCTCTCCAGCGGCTGAGAGAACTTCAGGGAGAAGGGCCAGCTCGTACATCTCCCCAGAGGCGGGTATGTTCTACGAGAGAGGCAGAGGTTGGCTGGGTGAGTAATGCTGTTTGGGACAATTTGTTTGGGGTACTGTGTGGGTGCTGGCATTGAGGGACTGGAAGTACAGACTAACTTCGGAGTCAACCCGTCTGGGGTTTCCTCCTATGTTAGTCTCCTGCCGAAAGGGGAGATATGTGACGGGAGTCACTTTTTGGGTGGGGGGCCCATGGAACACAGCTCACTTTGGAAAGTTGGGGAGACCCCTGTCTCAGCTCCCCATATCCCTATTATGTGTAAGTCACCCTGCGCCTGTTAGGGGTACAGGGTGATCTGTCCTAATATATTGGTTTGGGGGGTTGTTGATTGTTTAATGCCATGTGGTTGCATCCCATTGTTCTATTGTGTGTCTTGCTTGGGAGCAAACTGTTATGGGATGTATGTGTTTATGTGTATTAGCATGGTGGGGGTGTCTCCAGCAGCCCTCCCTCCTGATGGGACTGTCTGCTGGTGTGAAGTTTAAATACCTGTGTGTCTCTTGTTGCTAAGTATAGATTGCCCCGCCCTGTGTCATTATGCAGGGAGGGGGAACTGTCCCGAGTATATAAAAGTTCGAGTTTCAAATAAAGATTTCCATGTTCAGACAGACTGGTGTTGTCTAGTCTTGTTTGGTCGGCTGTGGTGTCTGTGGTCGTTGTTCAGACGAAAAAGCGGTATTATAACTGAAGTACCCAAGCACAGTCTGGGGCCGGTTCCGTTACAAGCATATACTGTATGTAACAACAGAGAACATGGGCATATGATGAATCAGGCCTGTGGACCAATATGACAGCAATTCATTCTTTTTTGTGATGCCCATGTTGAGGGTTAGGCCTAAAAAAGTTTTAAATTCAGAAACTGTGATAGGTTTCCATGCAAATTGTCTGGCAAGAGCTGAATTTAGGTGGGCGGCGATGTATTGTTGTGTGTATAAAGTCCCACAATCAATCGATTCAAATCTTCCATGAAAAACAGCAGAGGGGCTAAATGCTACTGCTGGCAGCGAACGGGACCAATCCTGCTAACACTTTGTTTTTGGGGAGACTATACAAAGGAGGACTATACACTAGTATAGTACTGTTCGTGATCAATATATTGATCTGTACAAACACTACACTAGTAATGGCAGTGATCAACGACCTATAGCGTGAGTACAATAGTGTGTGGGCAATCTAACGCTAGCTGACCCTGGCTGGGAGGGGCGCCAACCAACCCTGATGCTATCTGATGTCCCTAGTAGTAGTAATACAGTGATCCGTGAAAAATTATATGTACTGACACTGTACTAATGGCACTGGCTGGGTGATGGGGTGATCAAAGGGTTAATAAGGGTGATCAAATAGTTAAATGTGCTAATCTAACGCGTGCGTATAAAATGTAGTGCTTTTACTCAGTGCCGTGTTTGTCTCCCTGGATAGCATAGGGGGTAGTGGGGGGGGGGGGGGGGCGCATGCACACCCAGAAATAAAAAACGAGGTAAGATTACGTTGCTTTGCCCAGACCTGCCGCTTGCCCGCACATTGTTAGCAAGCGGCAAGTAGTTAAAAAAAAAAAAAACATTAAAACATTTTTAGAAAAAATCTCCCTCAATTTTTTTTAACACTATTTTTTTTTTTCAACATTATTTTTCTTTTTGTACAATTTTTAAAAAAATACTTTCATCAGAATTCTGCAATGTTACCATAGTAACATTGTACTACTCTGGGGGGGGGGTGATCAGGGATTTTTTTTTTCACACTTTGCATTGCAGCAGCAATGAATATTATTGCTCTGCAATACAAAGCTTAGTTTGAACTGTCATGAATGTGTTAAGTTCAATATAATAGTGATCTGTGATTGGCTCCATCTGGTCACATGGTACAGGATGCTGTGATTAGCCCCATGTGTCATGTGAGAGCTGTAAACCAATCACAGCTCTCCAAGAACAGAAGCAAAGCTTTTATGAATCAGAGTGATTCATAAAAGCTTTGTTGTCATTCTGATCATGTGATCGCATAGCAATCACGTGATCACTGGGTTCCAATTATCGGGATTCTCATTCTGCTGTGCCCAGTGCATACAGAAGACATGGGGTGAGGGGTAGGGTTGTGCGCCCACTCAGGCATGTATTGGCAAAAAACCAGTGACGTCTCTGGTCCTGTAGCTGGCGCCTGTCCGCAGTACATTGAGGGCAGGCAGCCGAAAGTGGTTAAATAATTATAGGTAAAACACACATTTCCCGTCAATTCCTCTAAGGGAGCTGCCAGGTTAGGAATAGGCAAGTCTATGTGATTTTACAGCAACTTTAAAGTGGTTCTACAGGTGGAAGGTTTTTTTTACTTTAATGCATTAAGGTAGAAGACCTGCATGCAGCTACCCCCCTCCCCCCCCCACTTAGATTTACCTGAACCTGATCTCAATCCAATGCTTTGTACAAGTGCAGAGGCTCTCTCCACTCTATGCCTACTCATTGGTTCAGAGACAGCAGCAGCACCTAGTGAGGAGGGAGTAGGGGAGGGGCCGAGCAGCGCTCCATGTGTCTATGAACACGCAGAGCCGGCTCAGAAACAAGCTAACATGAGTGTCCCTATAGCAAGCTGTTTGTTAGTGGGCACAGAACAGGTAAATATATTTTATTATTTTTTAAAACTAATATGTGGTCACTTTAATTCAATCTAAATCTTTTTGAGTCCCAAAACCTTTTTGTTTTGTTTCAGAGATGTCTTGGTTCCACACCTTATACTTTTTGTAGTCTACCACAACATACATCATTTTTATTGGGGCAGACAGGGATTTACATTTAAATACATATATTTTTCTTTCCTATGTTTTAAATAGGATGTCATTTTTTGCAAAATTTGCACAACCTTGAAATTCACCACAAATAACCAAGCTAAAATCTTCTAATGAATAGGGTATCAGGTAAGTATGATTATTATGTGCATTATGTAGTGGAATAGTAAGGCTCAGTGAACAGTAGTATTCTATTTAAAGCAGAACTTCACCTAAAAAGGGAAGTTCCACTTTTCCTCCTCCTCCCCTCTCCCTTAACACTTTTTTGTTGGAACAGATACCTATTTCTGACAGACACCTGCTCCACTTCCGCTCGGATTGCCTGAGTGTTCCAAACGGAAGTTCACCCCCGTGCACATCACAGGTCCCAGGAGGCTACAGGCTCATTCACAAAGCACAGAATAACTGCAGGAAGTCACAGCCAGCTTCCCAGATATCCAAAATAGCGGTGCCAGGAACCCAAACACCAGCGAAGAACCAGCCTAGGTGAGGACAGGGCTGGATCCCTGGACTGGTAATTGTATATTTATTAAAATGTAAACATTTTTTTTCCAGACAGACGATCCTCTTTAACCACTAGCCTACAGGGTATTTATACCCCCTTCCTGCCCAGGCCAATTTCCAGCTTTCAGCGCTTTCACACTTTGAATGACAATTGCGCGGTCATACAACGCTGTACCCATATGACATTTTTATAATTTTTTTGTGACAGACAGAGCTTTATTTTGATGGTATTTAATCACCTCTGGGTTTTTTATTTTTTCTTAAAGAAACCAAAAACCACTGAAAATTTTGGAAAAAAAAAAGTTTTTTCTTAGTTTTTGTTATAAAATTTTGTAAATAAGTGATTTTTCTCCTTCACTGATATGCGCTAATGAGGCTGAAGTGGTGGGCACTGATAGGCTGCACTGATGGACACTGATAGGTGGCACTGATGAGGAGGCACTGGTAGGTGGCACTGATGGGCATTGACAGGCATCACAGATGGGCACTGAAAGGCAGCACTGATACATGGCACTGATAGGCGGCACTGACTGGCACTAATAGGCGGCACTGACTGGCACTGTTAGGCGGCACTGATAGGTGGCACTGACACGGCACTGATAGGCGCAACTGATGCGCACTGATAGGCGGCACTGACTGGCATTGATAGGTGGCACTGACTGGCACTGATAGGTGGCACTGATTGGCATTGATAGGTGGAACTGACTGGCACTGATAGGCAGCTCAGATGGGCACTGATATGTGGCATTGATGTGCACTGGTAGGCACTGATATGTGGCATTGATGTGGCACTGATGGGCACTGGCACGAGGCACTGATGAGCACTGACACAAGGCACTGATGGACAATGACAGGTGGCACTGCTGGGGTTACACTGATCATCAGGGCACACTGATCATCAGTGCCCTGATGACCAGTGTACACGTCCTCTCCGCGGAAAGCCGATTACCGGCTCTCCTCTCCTCTCGAGCTGTCAGAGTGACAGCTCGAGAGGACAGAAATGCCGATAACCGGCATTTCCCTGTTTACATGTGATCAGCTGTGATTGGACACAGCTGATCACATGACCGAGCCGACATCTTCGGCTCTTTCCGTGATCGGTGATCTGCTGTGTCCGAGGGACACAGCGCACCGCCGGTCGCCGCGCGCTCCCTGAGCAGCGCATGCGCGGTGAGAATGGGAGGATGTCATATGACGTCCTCCCAGAACAAGAGAATCACCTTGCGCCCGTCATTGGACTATATGGCGGGCGGGAGGTGGTTAAGGAGAACTTTCTTCCTATTTTGACAGTACATTTCAATGCATGCAGGAAAAAAAAAACATCTGGTGTAATTTTTGGCATAACATTTACATAAGATCTGGTTGGGTTTGCACAGGCACAAATAGTGAAACTATACTCCAAATTTCAGATATAAAAATATTACAGAGCATCATTATGTCTCAAGTGTTGGTGTTTGACAGTGAGCCCCAACCTGTATTGAAGCTCCCATTTACTGTAATATATAGGAGTCAGGGAATTTTCATTTATATTACAGATAAAAAGTAAACCTGTGCTTTATAAATGCAAGAACCCCTCCTCTTTTTTTTATTTAGATACATAAAAGATACATGCTGCATGATACATGTAAAAAGATATTTCTGATTATTTTTGTTATTATGATTTATTGCACTTTGTATTGAACTTACCAATGTTCTTTACCTTTTGCTAGGTACAAAATTAATTTTGTAAAATGAGAATAGGTGTTTAGAATATATAATGAAGAAAGTGAATTACCAAGAGCTAGCTGCTGCAGGGGAATTCTTTTTGATACTTCTGGGATGTCGCAAGGCGACAGCAGCACGTTGTGAATTTTATCCTGTATCCTTCGCTGCAGCTTTGCTATGCTGTCTTCCATGGTGCTATAGGGCCTACTAGAGATCATTGGCTTGTTCAAGAACTCTGTCACACTTCCTGTGTGGTAAGCTGACCTTGTAATAATGTCATTAAAGGTATATTCAGGAGCGGAATGTCGGTAGTGGGTACCATCATTAATAATTGTCAGAACATTTACATTGTTTTGCAATAACTGCTTATGGCGCCTTTTTAATGGAAAATCTGCTGGTCCTCTGCGCATTAACTGCCCATGATGTATTTGCTCAGTGATAGGATATTTATGCTGTCCCTGGATACAGCTCAGTGTGCTCAGGTTGTTCCAATATACAGGGTAATCATCACTGTTTAATCTACTTGCAGCAGGCGTAGGGGCTCGCTGGTCACAAGTCCAGTCTGTCAAACAAAAAAAAAAAGAAACTATTGTTTACCCACCATGCAATGTACTGCTTAAATTTTAAATGGCACAGCCACTGCTACTCATTGTAACCCAGGGCAGAATACTCAGCATTACAAAGCAATCAACTTCTGCCGTTTTGGCTTTCTTAGCAATAAACTTTGTACAAAGAAAACCTTGCTGTTCACATAAAAAACTTTGTTTAGCTATAAAAATTCAACCATTAAAAATGAAAGCTATAGTTTTTATTGTACATCTTAATGCCAGATAAGGTCTAAATCGTTAGGTAAGGAAAACATGGTTATAAACATCAAGAAGAAAAGCCTTTGCCATATTTAAAAATAGTTGGCATAGAAACTAATCAGCTAGATTGTACAATGTGTGCTGTCAACAGCAAGGTTGTAAATAATATAACATTACATAATTGTACACCATGCTAATTCAAAGCAGAAATTATAGCAAAAAAAACCCTGAAGTTTGGAGTATGGGGCACCAGGTATCTCACTTGACTTCAGTGGATGAATGAGGTGGCAAGGAAGCATGGGCGAGATACATTTAAGAATCGAATATTGGCAGGGCTGCTATTTTGTGCCTGGTTTAGTATGTGCACACTTTGTGCTTTTGCAATTCTGAGTGATCCTTGTTGCTTTACTTTGACTTCTAAGGACTCCTTTCCCATGTACATTAGAACGACTGGGTGTACATTCTGACTATTCAATATATACCTCTAAGACCCTTTGCCCTGTACATGAGTATTTACAGACTGCTATACATTCATGTTTTTTTAGAGTATTTATACTATTTAAATACATACATTCCTACTAAAATTTGTAAAGCAATAAGCTCACAATACAATGCATGTGTATTGTATACAAACTGTTGTTATCGCCATATTGTTATTTACTTAATGAACATACCTTCACAGTGCAGGTTTGTCTTTTCCGCAGTCACCAAATCACTACTCCCATGTTTATTTTCTTGTGCTGCACTGATCTCCTGTATTTGCTGCTGCTCACAATAAGGGGTGCTCCCTGTATAAAATAAACATATATTAAGATACACGGTGGCCAACTATGATTAGTATGTGTACGATGAATAACTAATCAACAGATGGCAACAAGATATGTCCTGTCTGCAATTGGCTTTATTCAAGAATCATTTCTTATATTAAAAGCGTAACTTTACCCATAACAACTTGATAATGCTCTTTAGCAGGAATATACATTTCATATTAATAATTATGCTACCAAAATTAGTGTGTGCTATAAATTGCCTCCAGCATTGTTCCTGTTTCTTCTAGCTGGAGGCTGCCATTTTGCTGAAGCCAAGAGCCCCTGAACAGCAGTAAATCATAAAGTGGAACTAAAATGCCAAAAATTCTAACTGTTACATTTTCTTGTTTCCTCAACCAAACTGTCAAACCATCAAATGGCTGGTGTCATAACTGATCACATGTGCAGCACAATGGCAGTTGCAGATCAAACAGAAGCAGCTTCCTTAGTTGTAAAGGATGGGAGGGTTTAATTCCACTGTAAGGCTGTCAGATTGGCCTCTTCAAATTAGGTAACTCTTTTTTGTGGGGAACAGCAAATTAAAAAATAATATATGATATAGTGTATATATAAAGTCTACACACCCCTGTTAAAATGTCAGGTTTCTGGGATGTAAAAAAATGAGACAAGGATAAATCATTTAGGAACTTTTTCCACCATTACTGTGACCTATAAACTGTGCAACTCAATTGAAAAACAAACTGAAATATTTTAGGGGGGGGGAGAAGTAAACATAAAAAAAAAAAATAATGTGGTTGCAAAAGTGTGCACACCCTCCTATAACTGAGGATGTAGCTGTGTTCAGAATTAAGCAATCACATTCAAAATCATGTTAAATAGGAGTCAGTACACACCTGCCATCATTTAAAGTGCCTCTGATTAGCCCCAGATAAAGTTAATCTGTTCTAGTAGGTCTTTCCTTACATTTTCTTAGTCGCATCCTACGGCAAAAGCCACAGTCCACAGAGAGCTTCCAAAGCATCAGAGGGATCTCATTGTTAAAAGGTATCAGTCAGGAGAAGGGTACAAAAGAATTTCCAAGGCATTAGATATACCATGGAACACAGTGAAGACAGTCATCATCAAGTGGAGAAAATATGGCGCAACAGTGACATTACCAAGAACAGGACGTCCCTCCAAAATTGATGAAAAGACAAGAAGAAAACTGGTCTGGGAGGCTGCCAAGAGGCTTACAGCAACATTAAAGAAGCTGCAGGAATATCTGGCAAGTGTTGGTTGTGTGCTACATGTGACAACAATCTCCTGTATTCTTCATGACAGGCCCGAGTAAGGCTTCATATGTCTGGACTATGGGGTAGAGTGGCAAGAGGGCAGCCTTTTTTACGAAGAAAAAACATCCAAGCCTGGCTAAATTTTGCAAAAACACACCTGAAGTCTCCAAAAAGCATGTGGGAAAATGTGTTATGGTCTGATGAAACCAAGGTTGCACTTTTTGGCCATAATTCCAAAAGATATATGTTTGGTGCAAAAACAACACTGCACATCACCAAAAGAACACCATACCCACAGTGAAGCATGGTGGGTGGCAGCATCATGCTTTGGGCCTGTTTTTCTTTGGCTGGAACTGGGGCCTTATTCAAGGTTAGAGGGAATTATGAACAGTTCCAAATACCAGTCAATATTGGCACAAAACCTTCAGGCTTCTGCAAGAAAGCTGAACATGAAGAGGAACTTCATCTTTCAGCATGACGACCCAAAGCATACATTCAAATCAACAAAGGAATGGCTTCACCAGAAGACAATTAAAGTTTTGGAATGGCCTAGCCAGAGCCCACCTGAATCCGATTGAAAATCTGTGAGGTGATCTGAAGAGGGCTGTGCACAGGAGGTGCCCTTGCAATCTGACAGATTTGGGGTGTTTTTGCAAGGAAGAGTGGGCAAATATTTCCAAGTCAAGATGTGCCATGCTGATAGACTCATACTCAAAAAGACTGAATGCTTGAATCAAATCAAAAGGTTCTTCAACAAAGTATTAGTTTAAGGGTGTGCACACTTATGCAACCATATTATTTTAGTTTTTTTAGTTTTTTATTTCCTTCCACCTAAAAGATTTCAGTTTGTTGTTCAGTTGTACAGTTTTTAGGTTACATTAAAGGTGGAAAAAGTTCTGAAATTATCTTGGTCTCATTTTTTTACATCACAGAAACCTGACATTTTAACAGGGGGGTGTAGACTTTTTATATCCACTGTATATAATTGCTACACGAGCCATATTGTAATTGAATGTTATTAAAAATTTCCAGCAACACCTGGTTTGGCTCCATTCCATATGATTGCAGATTGTCTACTCCCTCTAATAAAAGTGAGGGGTGTTCTATATTGTAACAGTTGGAATTTACATAAATGCAGATAGACACATGCAGCTTCACATTATTGGAAGAGGTAACAGACTTAGGCAAACTTGTGCTGGTTTAGCAGTTTTATTGTCATAGGATATATGTTCATACGGTGTACATTTTTAATTAGAAAGTTACTGTATATTTTATATACAATGCCAACAGAAAGGCAATGGCAGGAATACTAATGACTGTTCCTGGAAATTATATTGCGGCACAGCCCGTATGCTTGTGGACTGGGACGTATATCTTAGTTACTGACTGCTGCTTTGTCACTCTACTACCAATGTTATTTAATTTGTGTGTAATTTGTCACGTACAAATAGTGCGCTTGTTTGTTTAAAAACAAAATGCAAAAAAAAACAAACAAAACAAAAACATATGATTATAAAAAAAAAAAAATTACCTTTTCTTTCCAATCTGCAGCCACTGTAATTTTCTATAAAATTAAATGCAATATAGCAACCTGGAGGCCTTCTGTACAC